AATCACCATTGTATTTGAAAGATGAAAACAAGGAAAAGGAATTCAGCTTCCCTTCCTCTGAGTCCTCCTCATACAAAACTCAAACCACAGGGGTGGCAATGGGAGGGGAGTGAGGAAGGGAAAAACAAATACTGAAGTGGCTTCTACAACCAAACCCTCCATAATTTCAAAGCAGACTACATGCACAACACTAACATGCTGCAGGATGACCACAGGAAAGCACAGCTTCAGAAGATAATGCGTTACCACCAATGCCTTGCACACTGCCATTTGCTTAAGGACACCCTTAAAAAAGTGAATACAAGAACTCAATTATTTGGAGAATCCAAACCTAAAATTACACAAGAGTGGATGTGAAAAGAATGAAGTTTTTCACAGTTAGCATGTCTTCACCTACATAACAAAATAAAACACAAAAAAACTAAAGCAAGTGATGAAGGAAGACCTGTAATTCAGAACAAGAAAAGATAGTTTAAGTTACTTTTTTTCCACTTACAGAGCTTTCTGGAAAAAATTAATTCAAGTTCCCAATAAGCATTTTATTGAATGGGACAGGGGGGAGTCTCAATTACATCCCAGATTAAGAAAGAATCAGGAGGAAGTTGACAAGAAGTAGTTTCAACATCCCATTTTGTATTTAATTAAGGATGCCCTCTTCTCCAGCTGTATCCAGCTGTAGAATTTCTAGTTCAACTGTAGAACTACCTGAACTGTACAGTTCAAGAAATTGATATAGCAAACATGAATTGCTATCAGAGGAGCTTCTACTTGAGGAAAGGAAAACCCTCTTTTTTTCAAAGGAAAAGAAGAAACACTGAAAGCCTTGAAATCCAGGCATCCTTCCCAGTTTAATTTGTTGGTATTCAACATCTACCATCAAGCAAAGAGGATCCCAACTCATCCACTTCAGTCTGCTGCTACACAGTCACCTACACCTCCCTGTTGCAATAACTGCACTCTACAGCCAGCACTGCTCTGCCAGGAAGCCCTCACAGCTTACACAACCTACTACATGGATTGCAAACAAAGTTTCACACACTGTTTAAAAGGAAAATTAATTCCACAAGGCAGTGGCTCTGACAATTAAATCCACAGCATTTTTCCCCCATTTTGAGCAGAGCTACATGTTCCTTATACACACTTGGATAAAGCTCACAAGTTTTACATGGAAAGCCCAGACAAGTAGCTACAGACCATAATATCATCTGGGATCTTAAGCCCTATGAGAATCATTGTCAAGTTCAGTTATAACCTGTCCTGCCTTTCCTATAGACAGATGTTGGAAGTTTTATACAGTATTAGCCTCCCTCTGAAAGAATGGTATAATCTATTATCTTTCTTCCATTTTAGGAAACTAAACTGTTCTCACTTCCACAAAAATCCATCCCAGCACACTAACAAACTAAAACCCAAGCTTGAGTCTCTGCACCTCCCCATCAGCAGTAAAAGCTCCTAATGTTTGCTCTCCCCAAGGCCCTTTAAAGTCACTCATGGCACAAAGGTTGTCCTCAGGCAATGTACTACACACATTTTGGTGAAAGACTCAGCTCTTCCTCCAAGAGTACTTCTGATTTCACCTGGTACAGTGTGTGAATTAATTTTAAAAAGTTAAAACGTAATTTGCTACACTGTTTTGCTAGTTATTAAGCATAATACCCAGTTTTAAAAATAAAGATTTTCAAGCACTTCAAATTAAAAAAACCATCTGGGTAGGGATGGAAAATGAACATCAGTTTTGCAACACCACAGTGTTAATATGAACTATGTAATTATAGATAAGCCTTTTAACTGATTTTAACAAAGTCACTCTTGAAACAGAAAAATTTAGAGACCTCCTACGTTACTTTCACACAACAGATGTGCAGTTCATCTATTTAGGTTTAGAAGGATGAAACAGCCATACAAATATGCCTGAAATGACAAAATCCAACTCAAAACTGATTGTCAGATAGTAACATAACGCCCAGTGGAAAATACAGATTTCTGACAAGGTTACAAAGCTGTCTTTAAGCTTAAGTCAACTACTTATGCCACAAATGTATACTCTAAAAATAGTTTCACACCTCCCTGAAAATACTACTGCTATTTAAGCAAGTTCCTGCTCAAACAATGGACACAGCAAGAGACAAGCACTAGATGCTACACATGATTAAGAAATTTAAAAGAATGCTATACTGATTATAACAGTATAAAATAAAGTTGTGCTGGTCTGGGATGCGTTCTTTTGTTTGGTTGGGGTTTTTTTAAATGTTTGGAGTTTAAGTCTACTTACAAATTTTTTGTTCTGATGCAATACATTTTAAGGAATTTATTCTTTTTTTTTTTAAGTTTTGAAAACAGCAGTCAATTATTTTTAACATAAGAACTTCAACATAGTAAGCAGCATCTGTATAACACTTCACAAACAAGAGTAAATAAAGCTTAAGATGACTGAAAAGGTTTATCACTTTCTACAAAATATTCATTTCATTAACCTATTTTACTGGAGTACTTTGAAGAGGTTTTAATTATTCAGAGACCTAACTATTGCAAAAGGAATAGTCTAAATGTTTGACTGGAAATGGAGATCCAGTTGAACACTTCAGTGGTCCTACTCAAGTCCTCAAAGCTCTGCAAGAAGCTCTAAGTCCTTGGCTATTATTTCTTAGAGCAAAAACCTACTGCTCATGTGTAATTGTAACTCATGAAAAAAAAAACCATTCCAGGCAAAAGTGCACTATCATTAGTAAATGTTTCACAGAACAGAAAGGTGTAACTGGGTACAGGTTCCTGGGCTCTAAATACCATACTTAATACCTGCTATCCCTCCTCCTGCAAAAGCTGCTTTCAAATAGAGACTAAGAGAGCTCATACGTTTTCATTAACTAGAGGACCAGGAAGCTTAAAGTTCTATTTCCACGAAATATGATCATGACAGTAGGAAAGAGATCCAAAAATACATGACACTATCTTAAGTGAGTCTGAATGAATATTATAGCTTAAGCGAAACTGCCTTTGCTCCCCACAAAAGGCTCTTTATCTGCTAAGGAAACCACATTCCTGGAGGCATTTAAAAGGCTACAGTGGACCAAATACTAAAAAAACATATATTGTGGGAAGTAATCAGGCACTAACAGAGAATGAGACAGGATGATTTAAGACATCTTTCCTCACCCATGATTTCCCCAACTGGCTTTTACAGACTGACAGCACAAACTTTGACTCAAACTGCTGTACATTATTTTTTATTTAATTTGAGGATATGGGAGGTTTAATTGTACTACACAGCAGATGCCTATTGCTCAACTTCAGAGAAGCAGATTTAACAAAGAGTTCAAGTCAAAATACTTGGAAATTTCCTAAGACATCTGTTACCCAGAGGCAGGTGCAGAGCTCAGTAATTTCTGAGCTGTTTCACAATCACAGTGGTGCTGGGACTGTCACTGGCCACCACTGAAGTTTGCTCAAGAAGTCTCTCCCTTTTGTAAATGCCACAAGAATAGACATCTCAAGAAACTGCTCCAGATTTCCACCTACCTGTTCCTCTCCAAAGAGAATTTCTTCCTGATCTTAGCAATTCTCTGGCTTCTTAACTGATTTCTAATGAACAAATAAGATAGCTTGACCAACCTCTAGCAAATTGCAGCTGACTCGCACTTCATTATTCAAAATCCTGGAGGCATAGCAGTAGTTTACTTTCACTCTGCTGAAGCTTAGAAAACCTACAAGTATCTTACTGCATTCATTTCCATTCACACATCTGTCCTACAAGACATAAGGTTACCCTCAAAGGAAAAAAAACCACACTTTGGAAATATTGAAGTCTGTAGCCTCTTACATGTAGGGGTACACTGTACAGGTAAAAAAACATTTTTCTTGAGGTCCATTGCTAACAATTTCTTTTCAGCTATAAATTATGTTTATGCCTGAAGTGGATTTAAACCACTGATTTATTTAGCTGGACAATTTTGATACAATTTTTGATACAATCTTGATATTTAAAACACAAATGATGTTACCTCTTGCTTTCTCGCTTTATGATCACTTACAGAAATTATTACCAGGGGAAGAAAAAAAGTCCTAGAACTGTTTTTTAAAGCAAAGGTAGGCCAGAATTAGTTCTATTTTTCAAATGTTATGTTAAAGGCTCCCCTGAGAATAGGTATTAAAATCGATGTTAAAATTTCAAACAAGAACTAAAATTCTGTCCCTGGTTGAACTGCTTCATTCATAGTTGTTCTTTTTGGTCCTTAAGCTAATACAAAGGGAAACTACCAGTGTTGCATATTTATGTTTGCTACCATTTTATTGATCCCATTCAAACCCAGCCCAACCCTTCTCCACATATTACTCATCTGTATTGTATTTTCCACAAACCATATTCCAAAAGGCAAGGGCATCAAGGGTGCCCTGCAGCAGAAGATACCCCCACACACAGTGCAAGGACATCTACCATCTATTTTATCAGTGCACTGCTGAATTTCAACGTGTCATTCACAGGTAGGGAAAAAAAAAAATCAGACCTACATTCTGACCAAGAGATGCTGTAGTACACCTTGCAACTGTACCACAAGAGCTTAAGGGATTAAAACCTGCAATCGCATTAAAGATCTTCCCCAAATCACACTACACTGGCGTGCAGGGCAGAGAACAGCCTTTGCTGACTCCACTGTATCCACAAGCAGAAATTACATCTACCCCAAATAACCTGTTTGTTCCCATTTTGACAGGAGGTTACGAGCTTTACATAAGCATCTCAAGCTATTTAAAGAAACATGGTTACTATTTACAGCACACAATCTGAATGAACTTCATGAGCCAGTACTTAACCTACTTTAGCCAGTGCAGGCCTGACTCACAGGACACTCTGATTGCTTTGTAAGGGACTCTGTACCACTTATCTTGCACATGCTAAAACAGCAGCCTGGGAGAAAGCCTAACATGAGAGAGCAGCTACTTCACTACACTACTCACATGCAGGAAAACTGTCTTTGCCATGTCCATTCTTGGATTCTACTTACAGCAGTAACATTGATTGTGCAGCTCAGGAACATTAATCCACTTTGCTGTAGCATAATCAAAATGAACAAATTTACTGTAACTATGCCTAACAGGGCATAACTCAAAATCTTCTGGACAACAAGAATTCTAGGAATCCAAGGAGAATGCTTTAGAGCTTATTTTGCTTAAACTTCGTGAGGTCACAGCAAGGCTAATTCATAAACCTGTCCACATACTGACCATTACAGTAACCTCAAGGGGCAAAAAACCCAAAATCAATGCCTGATAGTTCTCAGATTGCAACCATACATTTTGTTACTCTGATTTAGATACTTATACAAAATAATTAGCATTACAGCTCACCCTTGCATCTACTCACATTGGCTTCTGCAAACTGGCTCACACAAAGGAAAACTCAAGTAAGTGGATGCAGAGATTGGAGAAGAGAGATCAGGAGTTACACTGCAGGAAAATCAGCACTCATCTGACTCAAGTTCAGTCACAGCACTGCTGATGTGTTCTGCCCTTTATTAAGTACTGCTTCCTCATCAAACCCTTCAGGGAAACATATCCAGCCCCAACATTCCTGACATTTTAAAACTGCCACAGAAATCACTATCAACTAGTTCCTATGTTTATTCTCACATGTAAGTGATACTTATTTTGCTGTTTTGGTCGAAGTTGACATCTTTGACTTATGTGTTCACACTCACTCCTGTAAGAAAATCTCCTTAATATACAGAGACATCATTGTGACCTGCAGCATAAAGTCAATAATCATAAAGCAGAGACAATTTGAGTTCAATTTACTTGAAAAATCAAAGTTATACACATGTTTTGCCTATTCATGACCTTAAACTTCAAGGAAGATAATAAATCAAGCATTCAGGTATTTGCAGGTGATGATGAATTGTTTAGAAACATTAAACTCTAGTGTAACACTGTGAAGGTCCAAGACATGGGGTTAAAAAGAGCAAACTACCAACAGAAAAGAGCTCTATCAGTAGATGTCAGAGTCTGAACCACCAGTGCACACTCTGAAGCCCTCAAGGTGCACTGTGGCAGGAGCCAGGCCATGCTGGAGGAAGTATCACATTGCACATTCATTGTTCCTGCATCCCTCAAAGCAGCTGTTCTGGTTGGGCAGGGTGCCAGCTACAGCTTTGGCCTGACCTGGTGTGGCACTCAGGATCTGCCTCAGTATCAAGAAAATCCACTACTATAAAATCCAGATGACTTTAAACCATTTCTAAGAAGAGAAGCCCCCTGGGCTAGGAAATCACAACTTCGGTCCCTGAGTTCCTTCACTGTTTAGAGACCCTTAAAACTTATCACTGTGTTGTCTTACCTAGTCTAATGTTAATTAATGCATGAGACGCCATAATATGGAATAGTTGAAACTATTACTTATGTGGTTAAAGCCAGGTATTTAGTATTAACTATTTAAACAGACCAAAGACCACTTCAGATAACATGGTACTATAGTTTGGTATTTTTGTGATACCAGGATTGTTACTTTTTGGAACCCCATGCCACCACATTGGGGGTGGAGTAGCACAAGGATGTTAAACACCAGGAAAGCTTCAAACTACAGTGTGTTGTTTGATCTGAAACAGAATTAAATCTCACTGTCACAGTAGGACTTGCTTACACACTAAAAAAACGTGCAACCTCTTGGCTGTTCTTTACTTGTCGCACCTCAGGATCAACTGACATAATTCATGAAGCAGAACACTGGAAAAAGCTCAGCAGTTTCCACTTCAGTAAAGAAACATTTCTGTCCTTGTACTGCAGTTACCAGTCTAAACACCACCTTTGCTCATTCTGTGGCAGCCTCTGAGATGGAGCATATTAGCAGGGGAGCACAAGTCCGAAGAGGCTCTTTGCCACACAGTCATCTTCAAATTCCAGGGTGATGGGATTTGCCTGCACTCCTCACTGGAACAGCTTATTTGGGTGTTTTACAACTCATACAGCTCTTCCTGCTCACATAACTGAATAGAGAAAGTAATTTTGAGCCCTTAGAGGCTGAAAACAGCTATCATATTTTGTTATCTTTTCCTACAGTCTTTTCTTTGTTTTTACAGCTGTCTTCATGTTCTAGAAGGTCTGATGTTTCACAAGTTTGTATTTTCAGCTTCTAGTCCAGAAAAAGATCCTTCCAGAATTTAGCACTATGTGAGAGCTAAGCAGTGGTGTACAGCAGTCTGCCTGATCATTTCATTCTATTTCTACCTACATGAATCACTCTCTTTACTGGATATTAATGCAGCATTTGACACAAGAACTGAAGATATGGCATATTCCTTCCCAAGAGGGCATGAAAACCTAAAACAGAGGGGGAATGAAGTGTGAAAGTCTGTGGAAGAATAAAAAAAATGAAAGTACAAAGAAATAAACAGTTTATGGTGTTAAGAGTTGCCTGATTTCTTTCCTTCTTTTCAATAAAGGCACAAATTAGAATATTAAAGAGGAAGGAACAAGCACAGAAATAAAGGATAGGTAGGGATAGATTAATAATCTGAATTTTCTCACTTATGAATTCTAAGCTTAAAAAGCAATCACAATGGAAACTTTGCTTTCAGAATTAGACTTTTGATTTTCTAGCAATAAAATTTAGCAAATAAGTAGGGACTGAAGCAGATCACCAAGTTCAGAACTCAACTAGCAAAAAACCTGTTCAATAATGCAAAAAAATCCATAACAAACAATAACCAACACCAAAACAGAAACAACAACAAGAAAACAAAACATCAAACCAAAAAACACCTTTCATCCCCTTCTGCCTCTAAAGCTTCATCCAACCACAGCTATTCAAGATCTTCATTTAGATACAACAGCCCTTGCTTCAGGTTAAAGTAAATAAATCATTAATTCTGATAAATATTGATTTGAGAGAATTCCTTGCTGAAAAGCCTTAAGCAACTTTGGCAGGTGTTTCAGCATCAACCTCTCAGGACTCCAGAGCAGCAGCAGAAATGTCTGCAGCCCCAAAACTTTGCTCTTCACGCAGTCGTGGCTCCAATATACGACTGCAGAATAAAGAATTCTCCCTTCCCAGCACCTTCAGATCTATCATCAGGCAGAGCTAACCCATGTTAAGTTCTCCACAAGCAATGTTATCTAACTGTTGACCTGGTTTTGAGCAACTACTTGATAAGTTGAGCTTTTTAGGAAGATTTGAGAACATCAAAATGTTTTCAGTGAAGCTTAGAACAAAAATCCTTAAAAGCACTTGTTTCCAACAGAGGTCTTTCATAAACTGACTTAGAAGTGAATTTGAAATCACAGAAAAGGTATTTTTGGAAACAATAAGGAGCCATCAAGATACATGAAAGAAAGGTCTTACTGAACTTCCCCTAATCTTAGTCCTGATCTTCACTGAGCTGTATGCAGATATAGGACACATCCACTTCTTGTGTGACACTTCAAAACAAGCCTTCTGTAGTATTAGTTCATAATATTTTGCACAGAAGTAATTTTGTTTAACACCACAATGTAAGTTTCAAAGCATATACACCTACCAGGATTTGGGGCATGGGGAGAAGGTAAGATATGAAGATTTCTAACAATGTAATGGGTAAGCAAACTGTCATACTGAAAAACCCCAGTATTTCTTGTAAGCTTAATACAATTTTTACTTCAAATGTTTTCAGAACTTGCCTAGTTTTTAAACAGATGTTTCCATTAAAGTTTAGCACGTTTGGAAACTGATGTATCTCCAAACTATACTTTGTGCCTTTGATTAAATACACAGTAGTATCTTGATAGGAAGATTCTACTGAAACAGCTGGAAAAAACATTCATCGGGCCTTGACACTGTAAAATGAACTTTGTTGCATAAACTACTCAGCTTATGATGAAAACATCATTTCAAAATAGGCCTTATAGGAAAAAGTAGTCAAGACTGGCTGAACATTAGTCTAATTGTACAATTCTGCAGCAAATCTAAACAGCCAAAAAGCTTCCTATAGACATGGGCTGTTATCAGGTTCTCTCCACATATACCCACACCATATGGATTACTTAGAAGGTGTAAGATCTGAGCAAATGAAACTGTTCTGCCAGTCTGAAATACTGCAAACACCAAAGAATGCAAGCATCAAGACTAGCAAAAAAAAAAAAAAAAAAAAAAAAGGCAGGTTCTGAATTTTTACATAAAGAAACCTGCATCAGACCACACAGAAAGTTGAAAGGCAAATCCAATAATACTTCTGGTCTAGATTAGCAAACTAATCCCAGCAGTGATTAACACAGAGAAACAGGTAAGATCTGATTAGCTATCTAGTAAACTTGCATCTTAACCAAAACTCTGAACACTGTCTACTCATAGTTAGAACAGAGCTGGTTACCAACCTCGTCAATAAGCAAATAGATTGTTCTGTATGGCTTGCCAACCCATTACCTACCCCCAGAGTTTCACCAAAAAAGTACTTACATTTAAAGAAAAAAAATCCTTTAAGCTATAAGGAAATTGAACTCACTAAAGTACAAGACAGGGACAGATGTCATCATACAGACTTTTAGCTAAGAGGATATAAATTAGTTAACATCACACAGTTCAGTTCCAATACCTTACCAGTATTTTTCCCCACACATTTCTATGTAAAGCCCACTAATACCAGGGTACCACACACTGGACATTTTAGCCAGCATCCCATTCTAAGTCAGCTTTTCCTTTGCACAGTGCAGGGACACTGGTGCACAACTACGTCCTTTCATTTTTATTGCTACTTCTGCAAACTACCTCCTCCTCACTACTCTCAACAGATCTACTCACACAAACCTTCCAGGTCTGGTTATCTGTTGAAGGCAGTAGGATTATATTCACAAGTATAAGATTGAATTTTACATGTTAAACTGTAGCACTCAACTCTGTGGACACAGAAGCTCCAGAAAAATGAGCTGTATATATGCATTTGTATTACGTGCAAAGTTATAGGCATAAACTAAGTTTACTAGTTTTTGTATTAGCACCTCTACCCTCATGAGGGAAGTAGAATTTTGAATAACTGGAAGTAAAACACCTCTCCGTTGAGCTGAAGCAGCTGCCATATTAGAACACTATTGCCAACTTGCTTATTAGCAGTTTCTTTAGTTAATCCATTTATAGGGGCTTGCTTGCTCTAATTTAGCCTTATAGAATTACTCAAACTGTAAGGGGAGGCTTAATCAAACAGATTTGAACTAAGATTACTTAGAACTCATTGCATCTGGGAACACAGTGACATAAGTTTTTTGCTACCATGTTCACTCCCTTCCCCTTCCTTCATTTTCGAAAAATCAAGCCATTTTTCTTTGGCCTCTGCTTCAAGCATCTTTTCAGAGCTCTCTGCACTTGATATCAAGTAGATTGGACTTCAAGAACTGGGTTTTGCAAGCAAAATATAAGTTGCTAGAGGGTATGGCACCCTATAGCAGCCTGCTATCCTGCTGAAGGTGATATCCATCAGCACAAGGACAGAAGCAAATCTGTGACAACTACAAATTAGCGCAGTTTATCTAGAAACATCCTTCCTGCAAGAGTTCCCTTCCCACACCGAGGAAAGTAAAATCTCACCCGTGTCATTTTAAAAAAGTCTAACGATGGCCTGTTCCATCGTACATCCTCCTCCCGTCTGCGCTTCAGCCGGCTTTTCTTTTCGTTCAGGACGCAAGGCTGAGAGCGGCACCTCAACAGGCCCTGCCGCCGGCTGAGCTCGGGTGTGGAGGTGGGAGTGCTGTTGGCTGAAGGCAAGAGATTTCCTGTCTCGGTGATGTGCTCCTGGGAGAGGGAGAGGCGGCGCCTTGGGTTAAAGTCACAAGGGCCTCCGGAATTCCAGCGGGTACTGGAGCTCGTGCTGCCCTCGCTGCTGTCCACAAACCCGCTGCTGGCAGAGGAAGGTCTGGGTACTGGTGATGTGTTGAAGCTGGTGATAGTGAAGACGTTGTTTAGGGACAGTATGTTTTGTGGCAGACTGATGCTTGTGCTTCTCTGTAAGGTTGCACTTCCATGACTGTTGCAGCGCTGCAAGGTCGCGCTGCCGCCGCTGTTACAGCGTCTCTTTGACACGGGAGTCCAAACCTTGGAATTGCCAGGCTTCCACGGTGACCGACAGCGAGCCAGCTCATCTGGCTCTGAGAGGGACCTACAGTGGCGCTTTGTTGGCGGCGCCAAGGGCTGACCCGAGTTTTCGTTAAGGTTTAATTCACTTATCCATCCTGACACCATGGATGTGTTGGAAGATTCCTGCTGCCACTGCAGACTACCATTACTGGCAGTGCTGGTGCTGAATGGGCACACTGGGAAAGGGTAAGCTGAATTCCTTGTTGTGTCAGTCTGGATTGGGTAACCCCCATTTAAAGCTTTCCAAGGACTGTCTTCTGAAAACAGAAAAAGATACAGGTGAAAGATGAAAAGGGAAAAAAACTTATTTGTTTTAAACCTAGTTTAATGTAAAACCATCAAAGTCAAGCTTAGAAGGATGAGCCAAAAATACCCAGCTCTTAATCAAAGTTTCACACTATAGTCAAGCATTCACTTTTTATAAAGTTAGAAAACTCCAAAAACATGAAGACTGAAGTATTTCAGGAGCCAATCCAAGCATTCCAATGTATGCACCTTGTTAATACTTCTGTCTGTATACTGAATGATTACAGCACCGTGTTTCTCAGAGAACAACAGGGACAGTTTCTAGTGCATTGCACATACCACAATTAAAACATGTAACAGTCAACAACCTCAGGTACAACCAAAAGCGATTAACGAGTAATGTGAGAACCCATCAGGGAATTTTTATTCTTATTTTTTTTTATGCAAGAGCAGGGTAATCTCTTCAAACTGCTGTCCTTTATTTGGGTGTTAAGCTTTTCTATTAAGAACACCTTACTAAAGAAAACTTGCAAAGGGTATTCAAATTCTGTGGTGTGAAAAGCTTTAAATTAGAAACAGTATAAAGTTAAATCAGATTGTTGCCTTCCCCCCCCACTACACTTTGGATATAAGCAAAAAAAAAAAAAAATCTTAATTCAATGCATAAAATTAGTATCTCTTAAGAACCTCCTGCAAGTTCTACTGTGAATGCAGACATAGTGCACAACTTCTCATCTGAAGTGGCAATGCTGGGTTAAAAGCAGTCTGCCAGTGCAGCCTCTCACTCTTTTGTGAAGCGTCTCTTTGAGAACATTCTGCACATTTTACAGCTGTTCCTCCACATTATACAATGAAGTGTAAGAAGAACTACAGCAGACTTTGGATTTGCAAATTGAAAAGCAGCAAAACTGTTGGCCAGCTAACAGTGCTTCATGCTTGGTTAGAAAATTTGCTAATTTAAACCAATTAGCCAAGTAAGTTTCACTTATCCTAGCTTTAAAGAAAGAATATTTAAAATAGCAGGTTTTTCCCATACGTCTATTTTAAGAACCTAGATACAGCCTAAACATTAAATACTAGTATATTCTTATGGTTGACTGTCTAAACTAAGTTTTAGAGTAGTTAACAGATAAAAGATTTGCTGAGTAGCTTTAAAAGTTGCAAGCTCAAATAGTTGTACATGTTCCATGCCCAAAGTATGTCATGGATTATCCTGTTTATTTGGATCTTATTTAAAGAACACCCTATTGTCTCAAAATCATTTAACTGTGCAGACAGCTGGCCTATTCAAACATGTTTTATTAGAATTCCTCTGTCCTTCCTCCTCTATTCTTTCAGATGGGTACAACCACATACTGTGCTTTGCCTTAAGCATGTAAGCTCTTCAAGGCAGGGACCATCCATAATTCAATGCAAGTAAAACAGCCAACACAATGGGATCCAGCTAATGTTTGAAACTCCTAGCATCTACTGTAGGACAATTTCCTAGCTTGGACTGGCCTGATCTTAAAAAATACTTAGGAAGCTTTCTCCCAGGCCAGGAAGCTGGTTTAAAGTTTACTGTAAAAAAAAAAAAAAAGTCAAGAGATGCACCTGTGTTTTAATTGTTAATGTGGTAGAAACACCTAATCATTTAGACTAGAAAAGATCTAAGATCAGAGTAAAAACACTAACCTCACACCACCAAGTCCACCACTAAACCATGTCCCCAAGCACCACATCTACACATCTTTGAAGTACCTCCAGGGATAGTGATCTACCACTTCCCTGGGCAGCCTGTTCCGATGCTTGAAAATCCTTCTGGTGAAGAAATTTTTCTTAATATCCAATCTAAACCCCACTGGCGCAACTTGAGGCCATTTCCTCTTGTCCTATCACTTGTTACCTGGGAGAAGAGGCCGACCCCCACTTGGCACAACCTCCCATCAGGGAGCAGTAGAGACAAATAAGGTGTCCCCTGAGCCTCCTTTTCTCCAGCCCCAGCTCCCTCAGCTGTTCCTCATAGGATTTGTTCTCCAGAGCACAAATTTGTGCCCTCAATCCCCTCCTCCAGATAATTGATAAAGATACTAAACAGAACCACCCCAACACTATGCCCTGGGAGACACCACTGGTAACTGGCCACCAGCTGCATGTAATTCCATTCCCCACCACTCTCTGGGCCTGGCCATCCATCCAGTTTTCCACCCAGTGAACAGTGTACCCATCCAAGCCATGAGCAGCCAGTTTTTCCAGAAAAATGCTGTGGGAAACTGTGTTAAATGCTTTACTAAGGTCCAGGTAGACAACATCAACAGCCCTTCCCTCATCCACTACACAGGTCACCTTGTTACACAAGGAGACCAGGCTGGTCCAACAGGCCCTGCCTTTCATAAAGCCATGGTGGCTGGGCCTGTAGTTCCCCAGATCCTCCTTCAGGCCGTTCATGCACATGGGTGTCATATTTGCCAACCTCCAGTCACCTGGAACCCTTCCAGGGAGTCAGGACTGCTGTTAAGTGATGGAAAGTCTCTCAGCAAGCACTTCCACCAGCTCCATCAGTATTCCTGGGTGGATCCCACCTAGCCCCATAGATTTATGTGTGTCTCAGTGGTGTAGCACATCAACCATTTCCTTTTGGATTGTGGGGGCTTCATTCTGCTCCCCATCCCTGTCTTCCAGCTGAGGGGAACTGGTCTTACTATTAAAGACTGTGGCAAAGAGGGCATTAAGTACTTCAGCCTTGTCCTCCTCCTTTGTTCTTATATTTCTCCCTGCATCCAGGAAAGGATAGAGACTCTCTTCAGCCTTCCTTTTGTTGCTGATGCATTTATAGAAACAATTTTTAATTGGGCTTTTTGGCAGTAGCCAGATTAAGTTCTTTTTGGATGTTGGCCCTTCTAATTTTCTCCCTGTATAACCTCACAACATCCTTGTAAGTCCTCCTGAGTTGCCTCCCCCTTCCTCCAAATGTCAGCTCTCCTCTTTAACTCAAGTTCCAGCCAAAGATCTGTTCAGTCAGACCAATCTTCTTCCCCACTGGCTCATCTTTCAGCACATGGGGACAGCCTGCTCCTGTACCTTTAGGATTTCCCTCTTAAAGCACATCAAGCCTTCCTGGACTCCTCTGTCCTTCAGGACTGCCTCCCAACGGACCCTGTCAACCAGCCACCTAAACAGGCCAAAGTCTGCCCTCCAAAAGTTCAAGGTGGCAGTTCTCCTGATCCCCTTCCTCACTTCCCCAAGCATCAAAACCCATAATTGCTATGTCCAAGGTGGCCCCTGAGCACATCACCCACCAGTCCTTCTCTGTTCACAAGCAGCACGTGCAGCAGGGCATCTCCCCTGGTTGGCTCACTCACCAGCTGTGTCAGGAAGTTCTCTTCCACACACCCCAGGAACCTCCTAGACTGTTTCCTCTCTGCTGTATTGTATTCCCAGCAGACATCTGGTAAGTTGAAGTCCCCCATGACAACGAGGGCTAGTGATTGTGAGACTTCTCCCAGCTGCTTGGAGAGTATTTTGTCTGCCTCTTCATCCTGGTTGGGTGGTCTGTAACAGGCTCCCACCAGGATACCTGCCTAGTTGGCAATGCTATTTAAGACAAAACACCACTTGCCTTTGAAACTCCACACGAACCAAGATTCACATTTTATGGGGAGTCCCACTGAGCTAATAAAAGTCCTCCATGCTTAAGGAAAACAGGACATGCAAAATTTCAAGTCCATCTCTTAAAGCAGTACCAACTTTACATATCAATAAGTAAAATTTTTGGTTTTGCTAGATAAAACTTACTCTTATTCTAATAGGACCCAGGGGGAATAAAAGGAAACAACACTTGTATAAGGGCACTGGGTTTCAACTTGTAGTTTGCATCATGCTGGATATTCTATGTGGCAAAGACTGTAAGAAGGTACATAAAGACTTTTACTAGCTGAGGAACCTGAAGAGATGTTTAACATGAAAAACAGCATTACTGTGCTTCTGTACACCAGAGCAGATATTGAACAAAAAAGAAGTGTTACAAGGGCTTTTTACTATGCAAAGCAGATCACAAGTACAAAACTAACAACCAGCTATTCCCAGTATTGTTCAAAGACCAGCTTAAACCAGCAGGCTCTACAGCAGCATGCTCCATCCCCCTCACCTGATTTACAAAAGAAAGGCTGCTTGCTATACCAATTACCTCAGTAAAACACAGCTAAGGTTTCTGAAGAACTTACCATTGATTTCGAAAGGGAACAAGCTGCCACTTTTGTTCAGCTTCTCAGATGAGTACTGAAATCAGAGAAAAAAAGTTTTAAATGTGGAAAGAGTCAGCATTCATTTCAAGGAAACTGCATGCAGTTTTCAGTTTCCCTATATGTGCACTTAATGCCTTTAAAAGAATGGGGGTTTGCAGCATATCTTGAAGAAATTCCCAAACAGCTGATCTTTATAAATAAAGCCTCTGGCATGTAATTATTTGTAATGTTTTCTGATATATTGCTAAGTATCAAACTGTTTCAAGAGTTGCAACATTAGCTCATGTGAATAAACTGGAAAATTAAGAGCGATAATTCATACTTAATGAAAAAGCTTTGATCCAATTCTCATTTTAGTGGAGAGGAAATTACAATCTGGCAGTTGGGTTTCCATTTTCAATCTTAAGGCTAGAAGGCAAAAAACCACTTCATTTTCAACTTAAGAGACAGGAATAGCTTTATCTAAATTAAATATACAAGCTCTTGAGGTTCACCACCATGAACACTGCTCCAATCAAGTTTTGTTAGTATTTTATATTTTCCTATAATCAATGTAGCAAAGCGTTCTCTTATTTCTTCGAGGTAGTAAAGCCATTGGAAAAAATCTTTCCTATCCTCAAAAACATCTCTTTGCACAGTAAGACAAATTAAGTTTGTATGCAGAATGTTTTCCATTTTCTTCACTATTTCTACCTAGAAAATCTTGCTACAAAGGCATTCTTAATGGTCTAGATTTCTCAGACAAAGCATAGAGCTTGCCAGCCAGCCTCCTATAAAGGAGCTATAAATAAATGGCTCATGGCTCCATCAGCCCAAGGGTCATTATTCACTCCCCCACCACCACCTCAGGACGGAGAGGAAGATTGCTCTAAAAAAGAGCAACACGCTTTATGTGAACATTGTTCCTTGTGTATAGCCAAAGAAGATAGCATTGTACATACACTTCCTTTCCAGATACAAAGTCAATTTTTAAACAAACATCCTTGGGCTACAAAGCTTTTTTTTTTTTATTTGCTGTACAGCAGCACACAGTGCTAGTGACAACTTTATATCCTTGAGCCCCAAACAAGAGAAACGGTAAGCTGTGGTAATATTCCCTTGGTGTTATTGTTTTAGAGGTAGGAAACAACAGGGAACAGATGAAAGAACAGGGTAGCAATCAGACCTTTAATCTTATTTTTTATCAGTGTCTGCATATGAGACAAGCCATTTCATTCTTACTTGACAATTGCCTCTCTAGATGCATTTATAACTTCTTTTAAAGAAGCTATTTTAAGTAAACAGCAGAACCCCAAGTTTAAACGTCCATTGGATTTGCTGATAATTAGAGCTATTCAAACCATTTGGAGTCTGCAACCTGTCAGTTATAGAGTATCCACATTAAAAAAAAAAAAAAAAAATCAGTATCAATTGTTTACTCTAATCAGCTACCAAGGCTTCACATGAAACACGGGAGTAACAGCAGTAGTAACATTTCAGCTGTCCCTAAAGGGGAAGCACAAAAATTAAGTGACTTAAGGTTTTTCAGCCAATTCCTCCCCTCCAGCTTTCCCCAAATGGAAGGCAATACCAACCTATTCAACTATCAGACGGTAGCTAAGGAAAAGATGTTTTTGGAACAAAATTCTGTGTCAAAACATTTTATAGCTAATTTATCTTGAACCACATGGAAAATGGCAGTAAGATGACTTAGCATTAGCATAATAACTAGGGATGTTTAAGAGATTATTTATGTACACAGGCCAAGATATTCAATGCTCAGAAGGAACAGAACCTCAAGGACAATCCCAGGTGACAATTATTAGATTGATATTTAGTTTTTACAAACAGTTTTCAGCCAAATGCATCTTTAACAAGGTTCTCTTCACGAATGTCCAAGTTGTTCGACTCCCTGCACTTTAACCACCTTAAAAAGTCTTGTCCATCAGTTTAGAGACTAAACTGCTGGATCTTTGACAGCTGTGAAGCACTGAAAGCATTTTTCAAGGGGAACATGGAAAAAGTGGGATCACACAGACTATCTGTACTCCAGAGAACTGCAATGTTCTCTAACACAGACAGCAACCACACCCTTGGAGCTATTTCTGATCAGCTTTTACTGAAGTCAGTGCTCAGGTCTATGACAGACCAGATGCATTTCCTCTGCAACTTGTCTCGTAAGTGATCACTTACACAGAATCCTGCTAAGTTACCAAAAAGCTCTTTGCTGAAGATTCAGACCAAAAACCTTAAGAACATCACATGTGACATCACATGCTGAAAAAGGAAAACAACCTGCACCATTTCCAGTAAAATCTCAAGGCACTGAAATAAGGGGTGAGTGACTAAGGGCATAATAAGTAACGAACCTACTTTATAACATATACTTGGTTTTCTATAACTGAAACTAAAATACTTGGAAACACTGTCTGCTGGTGTATTTTAATGATGTCTGGAAGTCCAAACTTGAGTAGACTATCAGGCTGTAAATTCTTTATGGGAGGGAGGATCTTTTTATCTATGCAGCACATGGCACAAGTCCCACCAGATATTACTGTAACAGGGCACTGAACCAGTTTATCAGCTCTCCTGGGCTGGCCATGCTCTACCCTCCCCCATTCATTCCCTCTGTGCTATGATCTACCTGAAACTTCCTCAATGAAGGGCTTTTTATGACTGTGATAGAAAAGAGACTGCAGTTGCTGAGAACCTTGACAGGGAAGTCTGCTGCCCTCTTTGTGAAGGAAATCTTCCTTAGAATAAGGCCAAATTATTCAAGAAGGTCAGTTTCCTGAAGAGGAAACACATTCATCTTCCAACTACTGCTTTTTGAATAGATATTAAAACACCCACCAAGATCTCCTGCCTCTTGAGAATTTCCCAGGGCAAAAAAGGCAGATTTTAAGATAGACACACAAAACAATAAAACTACAATTTTCACATGAGGTTGGAATTATTCGCTTCATGATAAAAAGTGCATCTATTTTGAAATGCTTGTTCACAAATAGAACCTTTTTTGTGCAGATGGAGAGACTGTGCTCAACAGGAAAGGAAATACGTGGAACAACATTTAGGACAGTGTTGCAAGTTTCAGTTGGTTTACTGAGTCTTAGCAGCTGTTCTTTCGTTAAAATATTCACTCCAAAAGACACCTAGTCTGAACTGAGTAAGTGGTAGAGCCATGCAAGTGAGGCTGACAACAAATTATAATTTCCATCACTAATTTAAAAAGTGTTCTTTGCTCGTGGAAGCCAACTGCAACAAAAATAATTCTGGCTATTCTTCTACACTCCAATCTACTACATTAACAACTTCACAGCCTGTGCTATCCTCCTCTTTATCCTCAGAATGACGACTTCATAATTTTAAAATTAATGGCTTTAATTTCAAGACAGTTTTTTCCAGTTTAAAGTGTATCTGAGTTACTCCAATTTATCAGCACTCTTTCCAAACCACAGGAAAGTCAGTGTTTATCACTCAAGTACCAATTTAACCACCACCACCACCACACAGATGGGACTTGGTTTAAATAGGCCATGCCAGACCTCCATCTCTCAACCAAATATCATTCAAAGACAACTACCTAGGGAAGAGTGAGGAGGAACATTTGACCCTTTCTCAGAATGTGAAGAAGTGATTAAGTCAAGTCTTTGGGCCAGTGGCTTTCCATCCAAGGAAGTCAGCCCAATTCTAAGTCTTTCAACACAAGTAAGATTCAAAAATTAAAAATAATGATAACCCGCATGTACTGAAGGGTTTTACAGTAGAAACTCTTCCTTTCACAAATGCTTGTCTGGAGATCTTCACATTTCCTTCTTAATACCACACCCTGAAGTGTTACAGCTCACATGCTGTTACTTCACAAACCAACTCAAATACCAAAAAGGTACAAGTTTAGTCAGAACGTACAGAAGAATCCTCAAGACTCTTGATTTAGGAGATCTGTGTTCAGGGGAATAGAAACCAACTATTTGATTTAATCCTGCTGTCAACCCACGAAAGCCACAATGTGCTTGCAGAACTTCTCACTGTTGCAAGGTAGAGTTGAGCAACCAGGGACATGACTTTACTACAGTGAGCTACAGTACTCACTTGAGATAAAAGCTTGGGACAGCCTCCTGCTTCTACAGTAGGACACTCAATTATTTGGGTTTTTTTCTGAAGGCAGGTGCAGGACAAGGCTATACAACATAACTGAACATGCACTGGCTAAATTACATGAGTTATACCACCTTGGAAAATTAGTATGTCATTTAACAGAGCAGTAAAAAGCTACAGCCAGTATTTTACAACATAAAAGAAAGGTACTTTGTCATCATACAGCTTACACAAATGAAAAAAGTGTACTATGGCCTATACATGTTGTCTTTATGCCCAGCTTGGCTGGATAGCAAACAGCTTTGAAAGCACTATTCTTTTTTCCTTTTATAACCCTCATTCATGAGCTGTATTACAGAATAGCTTTTCCCCAGCTATTTTATCTCCCTGTGCCAAGACTGCAACTTGTGCAGATGCACTGCAAAAGGTATCAGGACACTGATAAGGGTTAACAACATTAACCCAGGCAAGAAGAGTTAGTCTTAATCCTCAACCAGCTCACAATGTTTGTTCACCACATGATGCCACAAAACTTTGTGCCAGCACAAGGAACAGAAGGTGCAGCAAGATCATTTCAGAATTGCTCTAAATTGCTGCTGCTATTAGAAGAAACTACAGCATTAACCTGAATTTCTTGCCAAAAAGACTAAATGTGCTAGCGCTGATACTAGACCCCCACTAGCAGTCGTTTTCTCTTATTAAAATGTAGCAATTGTCTTTACCAGTGATACTTTTTACCCTCTTAGGTTTGCATTTTAGTCAGAAAGTCATCATTTGCTCCCAGGAATTCTTTTCAGTCAGGAGCAACCTAGTTGCACTCTTTAATTCACAGTTGCTTCACTATTCCCACACCTCACTACGCAATTTCCACACTTTTTCAGGGTGCCATTGTGTACAAACAGAACCTGTTCCTGGCCCCAGAACCCATTTTCTCTAAGAACTCAAGCACTTACAAAACCAATTACTTGACTGATAAAAGGAGGAGAGGAACAAGAGAAGGGTGAGGAGGAAACAACTGATGAGACATCATGTGCCATTTTCCGCTCCACTTGTTCTTTTTCATGCTTTATTGTAAGTACAGATAAGGACAGGAATAAAACACAACCAACCCACAACACATTACAGAACTGGTACAGACTCCACACAGTGCAAAAGCAGTAATACATCCTTCTCCACTCTTAGAGGTCTCTGGTCCAAAACCTACAGTGTCTATCAGCAAAAAGACAGTTCAGCTTCCAAATTTATGCAAACTTTAGGACCTCAAAAATTAGAAATTACAGAATGCCACTAGATGTTTAGTTACAAACACTGCTATTGGTTACAGGTCATCATTGGCTCACACTTAGGCCCAGACTTTAATTACAAATGACGACTTTGCCAGTTCACAGATACAGCAGATCCTCCTACAAATCTCAAGTGCTTCATCAAACTAGACAAAATAAATGCCAATTGAGTGAGTAAGCACTTCTGAGAGGCAACATCCTTCCAAGACCTTAAATCTGCCTTTCAAGAATAGCATGTATTTAAGATGAAGAAAAAAGTAAAAGCAATTATTAAGGAACTCTGAATGGATCTGCTACAGTTTTGAAAATAAAACCACTTGACTGAAGTCTACTATTAGATATCCTTACTGGACAAAGTATTGGACACACGAGAATTGCAGGTGTTTGTGCACAAACTCCACCTCATTCAAGATATGCTTCACCTGCTTTGTGCTCATGAAATAAGGAAGCAGTTCACTTGTTTAAATACAAGTTACAACAGAAGCAGAATCTTACTGTAAAAGTAACTGACATGCTTCAGGTCTGATATCTGCATTATTATTTTAAAAAGTAAAAGAACTAGAGTTGAACAATACTTTGACTTTTAGTCAAATTATTTTTTTTTGTGCCCCGTTGGAATCTTCAGGTTTGACCTAGAGAAAGGTGCCACTGCAATTGAAGTCAGTAAAACAAAGCTATTCTGCATTACATATAGAATATGGTCTCAGGGTTCTCAGGCAGGCACCTAAAATTGATGAGAGACTGTTCTGCATTGCATACTCACGAGTAGATAGTATTTCATTCTTAAAGGAATAGATTCCTTAGTGTCAGAATAACATGCTTGAACCAAATCACGGGTTCAGAGATTAAACCAGCAGAAAATAACACTATAAACATTACAGAATTTTTCAGAGCACCAGGCCTCTGAGACACTGATAAAACAATGATCTGCTCTACTAGCATCAAACAACAGTCTGACACTGGCCTGACTTTTAATTGAACTGTTTTTATTTGATGACCTGTTCTCCTTTTTCCCAGTGCTGATAGTTAACTATGTGGCAGTCAGGGATTTTTGTAAATACTGTTGTCAGATACAAAGATATCAAGCACTTGGTTATATGAAGTGAAGAAACTTCAACCCATACAAGTACTTGTGTTTTTTGTAAAAAAGAAATCCTAAGATCTGATAATTCTTTTCAGTCATTAGAACACTATTTCATGAAGAGAACTGTCTTTTCACTATTTAAATTGAAGCAGTAAGGTTAAAAAGGTCATTAAAATAAGAAAGCATCACTTCAAGAAGGGACCATACACTTAAATTTTACTTTTCCCCCCCGCTTACAACTCTCACCCCACTTTGCAAACCAGCCCTAACTTAAATAGCTGAATTCTGGCTGATCTACATTCTTGAATTCATTTTGTAGTTCTGAGTGACATGTTTTTTTTGGTAGATCCTTACCAGATTAATATTGTATGTTTTACAGGTCAGATCATCCAAGCTCTGGTTCTGCAGCTTTTCAGTTATTAGTGTTACCATGGTAGTTGTTCCTTTTCCACTGCTCACACAGAAGTGTTGGAGGCTCTTCAGTCTCTTCTTTCAATACTCATGAGCCATTTCTGTTTTGGTCTAAAATCTTGAGATTTATGCTTCCATCTTACTGCCAAAGTTTATTTCCAAATGCTGTCAGTGTATCATGTCTGATTTCCTGTAAAATTGGAGTAGAAAAAGGAAAAAGTCAGATAAATTCTCATGTACATTTTAGCTAATATTGCAATAATACAACTCTTATTTGGACCATGTCTTCATGTAAATATATCCCTCTGTGACCAGTGCCAACACCTGGCAATTCAGATTATATGTCTCCACTCATGAAAGAATACTTCTATTAAGGTTTCAATAATTAAGGTTTCAATAATTACAACTTCAGAAAGGAGATGAGATTCATACATAGTAGAGATCAGGGTATTACTTCGCTGTTTCCTACTATTAAACTGATTCTACCCAGGATTTTGATCCAAGGCAGAAGGAAGACTTCAGCTTTCCATCATTTAAACTAGCCAGATATTCTGGAACAGCATATGAAACACACACATACCCACCATGCTGTTCTGCACGTTTAACATTATTTGTCATTTCAAGACATTGTTTCATCACTCCTTAAAAAGAAAAGTGGAGCAGAGTGGGTAGCTCCAACACTATAACTACTTCCCAAACCCTCAGCTACTTTTAATGTATTCCGCTCTGTTTTTTCTTTTTTTTTTTAAGGTTACATAATTGTTACCTGTCAGCAAACACCAGATCTTACACTGATAAGCAGGACAGATTCCCATGCACATAAAAGTATCACAGACAACAACTTAGATATCTTTATTCTGTGAGCAGTCATCTAAATCAAAAGCATTCGGTTCACCAGCTGCCTCTTTTTATCCCAAAACATCCCCCACATATTTTCTTCCCCTCTCTCTAATGAACTGCATTAACCATTCTTGCTTATGATTTAATTTGGTCAAGCATATTCAGTGACCACTTATGGAATAAAAAGAGGGAAGAGATCCACGCAGAGGTATTTCCAAATTTAAACAAAGCAACATGAGGCTTGGGGAAGGAACACTGATGCTGCTGGGACCTTAAGTTTTACTTCCATTTGCTAGTTTTTAATGTCTACAGTAAAAAAGAATAGCAGAAAATAATAATTTTCAATTAATGTTTCCACAAAATATTGCCTCTTCCACACTGTTACTTACCAGCTATTTAAGTAACCAGTAGTAGCAAGGAAAAAAGCCACTTGAGGCCATGAGCCAAGTTAAACTCATTTAAAACTAAGATATTAATAGTATTAATGGTGATGTTAGATTATCTTTTAAACCTGTTTCCTCTGAGTACATCCTCAAATATGATTTTCATATGCTAACCATACACTATTTCACCTTCACAGCAGTCTGCCACATACTGGCCCCCCTTAGCCTGAAAGCTGCCCCACAAACACAACTTCTGCCCATCTTTTGGCCTCATTCTGGTATCTACTTTTTTGTGTGTGCTATAAGATAGGATGCTTAGAAGTGCTTTTTCAGCACAAATAATGTCACCCAGATAGCTGAAACTTCAACTGGTCTGTTTTTACTGGATGTGTCCTGTCTTTCAGGGAGGCACACAACTTGAAATATTTACCACATCTTCTGAAATTACATCAAGTCAAATATTAAAAACCATCAAAGTTGTATAAACACTGTTCCATATGAGCATCTGTCAAAGCCAAGTGTGGTTCATGAAGTGCTAAGCAAGTTTAAGGGCAAGCATGTGAACACAGCAGTATCTAGAGTAGCACAAACCGACAATGCTGCGTCCCTTTTACACCTGCTGAAGCTCAAACTAGATCTAGAAATCCAGAATAGAAGTCAAAAGAAAGGCTGACTGGGGGTTAGAAATCGTCCCTATACAGACTGAAAACATACTGAAGCTGAAGACCTTAGTAACTGGTGCAAAGACTTTCAGATCCATGTTAAAGATGAGTATTTCCACAAGTAAGAGGCTACTAATAAGAACAAGATGAGCAGAATGTTTAAATTACTTCTATTTGGATGGGCCATAGAAGAATTTGTGTGAGGGTTTTTTTTTTCTCAAGGAAAAAAACAAATTAAATAAAACCACCACAGGTGGGAGAAAAATGTTTTGATCTGTAATCAGTTAACTATAATGTTATGTTAATATTTTGCTTAGTACTTCTCATCTTCAAATATTTCCCTGAAATTTTAAGTCAGCTTAATACAAGCTAAAATAAGGAGAGACTAGACAGAATATTAGATTTTAGTTAAGGAACCAATTGAATGAAAGGATAAAGGGAAACCAAATGAGATCACTGAAGCATGGCACTTTCAGAATCACGCTGAATTGTACAGTTACCCACGTTCGTAAACCCTATCACCTACTGAAAGTCAATACTTGGGAGCTGCAGCCACTCAGGACCTTTCTGACATCATGAAACCCAGTAAGTTCTGAAACACAATCAATGTGGAAATTCCCCCCAAAAAAGTTTCATTTTAGCAGCTCACGCTTACCAGCAATACTTTTTCAAATGGAGACATGCTCCATTGAGAAAGATTTTTTTTTTAAGTTCACAGGGGTGAAAAGGTGCTGTCAGCCAGACAAGCCTTCATCTACCTGCTCCCACTTTCTACTGCTCTCCTCATGAGTAAATTCCATTTCTCAGTAGGAAGCACAACACTAAGAGTGAGTAGGGCTTTTAGTTCAGATCAGAAGCAGGCTTTGCAAGTGAATTCCTTCCTCATCTTCCTCGAATGTGCTTGTTCAGTACATCAGTATTACCTGTTTTACACTACAAATCTGTTCCTACTGGGCAGCCCTTGTTAATGATGATACAATGAATGTTTAAGGGGACAAAATGTCACCAACATGCTCCTACCAACAAAAGCCATTCTAGGCTGCAGTTTGATACACCTCAGCTGCCATCACAACTGCCAACACATTTTCTTCCCTGGCTATTTGTGGCCCACAGCAGTGTGCCAGCACAAGTGTTTCTGCTCATCACAGAGAACTAGATCAAGGAATTTTTATAGCTGGATAAAACCAAAGCACTTCCTTTTGTTTCTGGGAAAGGTTGCTTTCCAGCTGGATCAGTTCCCCAGTCTGGTTTGCCATGAACTGGACACAAATGCTTGTGTGGGCACATTGTGGGATGCTGACACTGCTTGTCCAAGTACCTGTCCAACTACAGCGTCAGAAAAAAAAAAGAAATAAGCCGCACAAGAAAGCCAGGTGACATCAGCATTTACTACACTGAGCCAGGCAGATTCTCCTATAATTGGGAATTAGATATCTCCTCCTGAAGCATGGTTTGAACATGTTTTGCTCCCATTTTCCTTGTACAATTCATATTCCTTTGACTAGTCAAACTTAATAGCTCAAAGTGATCCAAAAATCACCTCTGCAGCCTCAGCACCTCAACTCAGTGACCAACATCCTGGTTCACTGTAGTTGAAATATTTGCACTCCACCAGGAATTGCTTCCCTCATCTTTGCTAATTAATATTGGCTGCCAAGAGACAAGAGATGCTTAAGAGTTGTTAAGCATTCTTAGCTTCACTCAGCTGTTATCATTTTAAAACTTTATTAATATGTATTTTCAAGCACTTTGCCCCTTATTACCTCCAAGAAGGAAGCTCCTCATTGTATTTTCATCTTTTGGGGGGTTTTTGTTTATTTCAAGACTCTCTGCTGTGTTATGTATTTAATGTACCCAGAGAGAGAGCAAACTGTTTGCTTTATGTACTTTTTCCACCACACTGTTTTTCCAGAGCTGATTAAAGGCAGCCAACTTCATTTTTCAGTCTCTCCTTAGCACGAACCTTATGCTTATCAGGCTGAATCTGCTCAAACTGCTAGGCACTTCAAACTAATTGGATTTTCAGTAACACGAACCATTTGACCATCCCTGTTAGGGCACCATGGATCCTGCTGAATTATCATTTGTTTCAGCTGGCTCATGGCACAGACCTTGGCACAATCCAGTTCTGCCTTAGTCTCCATGTAACCTGTAGGCACACACCTCTGTGTCACCAAGTCTCTGCAGGCAGCAGCAGAGCCAGGCGTGCAAGTTCAAACACTGATATCCTCCAAGCCTTGAGGTAACAACAATAGCCCTTGGAGCTCCAAGTTGGATGAAGTCCTACAAGATCATGGCCATCTTTCCCTTAGCACACCATCCTTTATGCAGTCTGATTAGGTAGAATACTGAGAAAGCTGAGACCTCCAAGATAAACATACACAACAAAAGATGTTAGTCAGTCTCTGTCCTGGGAGAGCCTTAATCTCCCTAGAATCTCCTTAAGCTGGGGGGCAGAGGTGAGGCGGGAGGAAGAAGCTATTTTTATTGTTGAAAGGTAGACTAATGAAATGGAATAAATGGAATATAAAAATCAAACTCTAAATGCAAGCCAAAGCTAACATTCCTCACAGTTGGAGAATGAGTTGTGATAGAATCAGTATCACCATTGTCTCCGATTTAAAAGTTCTGTTCTATTCATTCTGAAGGCTGAGAAAAGTAAAGATTCATTATTCTATCTCTATAGTACTATTAAAGAAGAGAGGTTTTATTTCTTTAAAAGTTTAGCCACAAGTAGTAATGACTTGTAAAATCTCTGCCAAAATTAACAGTGGAGATAGAAAAGAAGTGCTCATGTCACGAATTCTGTATCTTCTCAGTGACATCACTGGTGTCTTTTTTGGGAAGACTACTAAAAATATGGATTACCCAACCTCCCAGTCAATTAAAGGATGTCAGAGGCTCATTCAATTTGACAACCTACTTTCAAAGAGATGAAGAGTCCTGATGAAGAACACAAAAGCCAATACAAAAATCTCTTCTTGGCTCTAAGAAAGTAAGGCAGCCAGACTCATTTCCAACCCACTCCTCCTCCTTCTTGCATCCTGCAGGACAAAATGTTCCAGCAACAGCTCATCTCGATGGGAAAATTTACATTTGTTTGAAACGCTTCTAACAATTTCTTCTCTGTTTCTGGAAGTTCCATCTTGGATAAAGAAGAGATCACAAGATTTTTAGATGATTTCCCCATAACACAAATGTAGGTGTTTCTTGACGATCACAACCCCATCTTTTTCTGCCTATGGTACTAAAATTACCTGTGAGAACACAGAAGGTTGTTCCCTCTTTTCTGTTACTTCACACTA